GGCGGTTTCCCGGGGCCAGGCTCCCCTCAGGAGCTTGGAGGGGCACTTACAAGGTCACCCGACGTGTTTTCGTAGCGAGGAGGAGAGGGCCTCGTTCCCGTGTTTGCTCTCCTCTGATGCAAATGGTAATTTGGCCGCGCTCCTTTCGCACGTCACTGTGCTGATAAACGGGAGCTCGGGGGGGCTCCTACATCCCCTCCGCAGAGCGGAGAACGGCCCTTTGTTCCCTGCCGGCACCTCGGTGTTCTGCCCGTGGTACAGTGAGCCTTTGGAAGCGCTGGCAGTGTGGACAAGCCTCTCTTTACAGAAGACTTGTCAGAATACTTTTCACAATTGATATTTAGTTGCTTCTTGTCTTGCAGCTATGCTGCTTTAGCTTTATTTTATTATATATTATCACATTTTGGCACAATGGAAAGAGATTGAAGGGGTCCTGCTGGAGCACGTTACCGTGTCAACAACCTGAGGAGTCAGTGGTATCTCTGTCTTCTTGTGCCTTCTGCAAGTATCAGCTATGTGCAGCTACCTTGACATCTGTTGGTATTATTAGGCTAATTAACTCATCTTTTTCATAGTCAAGGTACAGAGTATTCCCCTTTTAAGAAGGGGGAGTGATTCTTAAAGAAAAGAAAAAAGCAGACAGTGATTTATAATTGTATGTCCTTGCTGTCTTCCACAGAAGGTTGATGAGGATGTGGGCTCCTCAAAGTATCATAGAATCATAGAATGGTTAGGGCTGGAAGGGACCTTCAAAGGTCATCTAGTCCAACCCCCCTGCAAGGAACAGGGATATCTCCAACTAGATCAGGTTGCTCAGGGCCTTGTCCAACCTGGCCTTGAACGTCTCCAGGGATGGAGCATCCACCACCTCTCTGGGCAACCTGTTCCAGTGTTCTACAACTCTCATGGTAGAAAATTTTTTCCTAATATCCAATCTAAATCTACCTCCCTCTATTTTAAAACCATTACCCCTTGTCCTATCACAACAGGCCCTCCTGAACAGCCTCTCCCCATCTTTGTTGTAGGCCCCCTTGAGGTACTGGAAGACCGCTATAAGGTCACCCCGGAGCCTCCTCTTCTCCAGGCTGAAAAGCCCCAACTCTTTCAGCCTGTCCTCATAGGAAAGGTGCTCCAGCCCTCTTATCATCTTCGTGGCCCTCCTCTGGACCCTCTCCAACTAGTCCATGTCCTTCTTATGTTGGGGACTTCAGAACTGGACGCAATACTCCAAGTGAGGTCTCACGAGGACAGAGTAGAGGGGGAGAATCACCTCTCTCGACCTGCTGGCCACGCTCCTCTTGATGCAGCCCAGGACACGGTTGGCCGCCTGGGCCGCAAGAGCACATTGCCAGCTCATATTGAGCTTCTCGTCCACCAGTACTCCCAAGTCCTTCTCCCAAGTAGATCGAGGCATTTGTATTGCAAATAGGGTGGTAAAAAATTTTCACCTTTGCTCCTTTCCTAGTCTGTAATTGCTGATTTCTTAATAGATTTTTAGGTCTGGATTAGAATTTAGCACATGAAATTGAAAGATTTACAAACTGGCTTTTCTCTTCTTGCTTAATTTGTCAGGATCCCAAGCTATCTTCTCCCTTGGATGCCTCAAAGCTGAAGGAGCAAGAGAGTTCCATGTAATCTTCCCTTGGGGTAGTATGGGCTGTGAAACTCTTTTTAACATTTAGATGTACTCTTTCAGGGGTTTGCTTCTTGCTGTTTTCTTTGGAAAAGGTTCCGTCTCCACGCCTTCTGAAAATGGCTTCTCTTTGCTGTTTTCTTAAAAACTCTGGTTACTTATTTCTCTGGTGCTCATCTGTTTTTATTTGAACTTGGTCAGGTCTCAGTGACCTACTAAAAGTTGTTATACTACAGTAATTCCTTAAAGCAGGTTTTAAAGGCAAGACTTCTTTCTCATCTTGTTGGCAGACTTGAGGTGTGGGATCTGCTTCTGGTTACCATCATCCTGAAGCCAAACCTCTCTGGACTCAGACTAGTACGTAAAAAGCATAGAATCCACACCCCATTTTTTACAAAAAAGTTTAGTTTTACTACAAAATAAAGCCTCAAAATACTCGAGTTTCTTTAAAACTTATTTAATCATTTTTGTCCACTGAACTAGACCAAGCAAACAAGTTTGGTCAGTTTTTTCTGCCTCCTGACCTAGGCCAGCGTGGATATCTGGTTGTGCTGCTGGGATTCCCAGTTTTCCAGGGGAATGCTGACACCATATGTTTGTACTCCATCCCCACCCCCAAATAATTGGCACAAGTCGTAAACATTGGCTTGAGTGCTGCGTGAGAGCATCCCTGAAGCCCATTTTAGGAAGATGGTTGAACATGGTTTGTCTGTTTGAGCAAGGTGAGGGCAGCTGAAGACAGAGCAGCCTCTGACTAAGCTGCCAATTAAAAACTGGATATTCTGCTTCCCCCTGGAGAGGCATGGAGGCTACTGGAAGTGTGCTTCCTCTTAAAATATCTGTGGGTTTCTTTCTCTTTGGATGGGTGACAGAGCGCGGTGCTGACCTACCTGGGGGTGTTTGTACCCAGATGAACATTGTTTGCAAATCTGTGTATAATGGGAGAGTTGAGTGTTGTGGTTTTGCATTGTGCTTCTGCGGGTTCTCTCCGTTTCAGAGACTTCCTCACGAGGGAGGGAAGGAGGATTACTTCAGTCTTTGGCAAGCAATTTCAGTGTTATTTAGTAGGTACCTGATCCTGGCAGAGCTCATCTTCCCTCTGCAGCAGGATAAGCAATGTGAACTGTATTGGACAGGCTGTTGGCACGTGCATATTTTGTGACCCTGTGCACATTTCCTGCCCCCCTCTCCCCCCTCCGCAACTGAATTAAACTGGGATTTTAGGCTTTTAGCTAGACAGAGCCTCAACTGAGTACACTTTATAAGATACGTACCTGCCAGTCAAAGAGATGGTAAACACGGGCTGGCAACTGGTGCCTCAGCACCCTCCCTCGCCCCTTCTTGTCCCTTCTGCGCTTGTGCCAGCAGGACGTGGCGCCCGGCACGACCACCCGGAGGAGAGGCTGGCCCTGCTGTCCAGAGCGAGCTGCTGAGCGAGTCACGAGGCTGTTCAGGTGGTGCGCTTATGTTCTGGAGAGGCTGGTGCAGGTGAGCCGTGCTGGAAGCGGCTGAGTTGCCAGGGCAGAGAGAGGCGTGTTGGGCATGCTGAAATACCTCTGCCAGAGCAGACAGTTGGCCTGCTGGGTTTCAGCAGCGGTACTTGGCAGGGAGGTAAGTATAATGTACGTGCCTGTGTGCGGGTAGTAGCTACACCCTTACTTCTTCTGTGGAGGAGCAAGGAGACTCCTCCCTACCAGCATCTCTCTATTTTGTGGGTCAGTAGATTTGGGGTGACTCTCCTAGTGAGCATTGCTATTCATTAGAGTTTGTGCAAACTGCTCATTCTGCTTTTGTTAATGAAAAAGTGCAGCTGTTTATCGCTGACAGGTGAAGAGTTTTTGTGTTCTCTCGTCTTCATCCATCCTTTTCTCTCTCTCCCTAGGTCTGTTTGGAGCCAAATCTTGTCTATGTGTGTGTCGTTTTGTCTCTTTTAATACACTGCCCTGACTTGCTTGCTGCGAAGGGAGTATGCATCTGGAGATCAAAGTTGCTCTTAACTTCATCATCTCATACCTGTACAACAAGCTTCCTCGGAGGCGGGCGGACCTGTTTGGTGAGGAGCTAGAGCGCCTGCTGAAGAAGAAATATGAGGGTCACTGGTACCCAGAGAAGCCTCTGAAGGGATCTGGCTATCGCTGTGTTCATATAGGGCAGACGGTGGATCCGGTGGTGGAGCTGGCGGCCAAGCGGAGTGGGCTGGCTGTGGAGGATGTGCGCGCCAATGTGCCGGAAGAGCTGAGCGTCTGGATTGATCCTTTTGAGGTCTCCTACCAGATCGGTGAGAAGGGCTCTGTTAAGGTCCTCTACCTGGATGACAGCGAGGGCTGCAGTGCCGCAGAGCTGGACAAAGAAATCAAGAGCAGCTTCAACCCCGACGCCCAGGTATTTGTCCCCATCGGCAGCCAGGACAACTCGCTGTCCAACTCTCCGTCCCCCTCCTTTGGCCAGTCGCCCAGCCCCACCTTCATCCCTCGCTCTGCCCAGCCCATCACTTTCACCACTGCCACCTTTGC